TAATTTGCAGTCCCCTAGTGACATATGAGATCGAGTATCTTTTCATACGCTTATTTGACATCGGTGTATCTTCTTAGGTGAGGTGTCTATTCAGATCTTTTGCCTGTTTTTTTTTTTTTTTCATCGAGTTGTTTTCTTATTGTTGAGCTTTAAGTGCTCTTTGTATAGTTTGGACACGAGTCTCTTATGTGCTTTCCAAGCATTTCGTCTCTGGGGCACGTGTTTTCATGCTATGAACAGTGTCTGTCTTGGAATATACATTGTCAATGTGCTACATTTCTGCATTTTACATTTAGGGTTGTGACTCATTTTGAGTTCATTTTTGTGACAAGTGTAAGGTCTGTGTCCAGATTCTTTTTTTCTCTTTTTCTTTCCTTTCTTCTTTTTTTGCATGCGGATGCCCCGTTTTTCCAGGACCGTGTGTTGAAAAGACTTTTTGCTCCATCGACTTGCATTTGCTCCTTTGTCGAATGCTCTCTGGCTGTGTTCGTGTGGCAGTGTTAAGGCTTAATAGTGTTTGGACGTTGGCCATGAGGTGAGCAGGTGACTAGGGATGGAATTAACTGTGACTAGAAAGATCTTCGAAGCAAAGAAGCAAGAGGCCGGACGCTGTGCCGGAAGCTGTCCCGATGACCTGAGTTCTTGGCCGTGGTCACCTCGGAACAACCAGAGGGGCCTGACAGAGCTGTCAGCGCCGGTCACAGCGTGCTCTCCCGCTGCAGGGACAGCGCGGGCTCCCGGGCGTCACCTGCTGATCCGCCTCTTGCAGGTGGGGTCCAGGCGCTTGAACTTCTAATAAGTCTCAGCAGGACAATCTGGCCCCGTGGAACAGGGGCCGGAGCAGCAGGGAGGAGGATGAGACATGACCCAGCAGGGCCCTGCTATGTGAAGGTGACACGTGCCCTGTGCAGCTCAGACTCTGAGTTCCGGGCTGAGGGATCCCCTTAGATGGGGGGAATCCACGGAGAGTGAGTGTGAGGACATTCGGGAAGGAGCAAAGTCACAGAGGGGTTGCTCCCGAGGCCCCCGTGTGGCCGGGGCGTGGTCTGTGGTGGCCCGGCGGTCCACACGTGGCACCGCGTGTCAGGAAGCAGGTGGCATCTCTGCTGAGCCTGGGGTTCTGGCCCCCGGACTCTGTGGAGGTGGCCCAGCCCATGGTCCGCTGGCTCCGGACAGCCGGCAGCGGACGCCTGCGTGTCGCGTGCGTGTGCGGGCGCGCGCTCATTCGGCGCCCTCGTGCCAGGCTCGCTGTTTCCTGTGCTCTGCGGATCTGCACGAGGCGAACGTTTCGAATCTGTGCAGCTTGAGCTCTCCCGCGGGGTGTTGCGCTCTCTCCCCTTGTCGGGAGCGGGGCTTTGAGGGTTAGGACACTCCGGTGTGGCGGGAGCGTGCCGAGGCCTGTGGGAAGTGCCGGGTGCCCGGGCGGCCCGCCGACCCTCCCAGAAGGCCCCGCCGGCCGCCAGGCTCGTGTGGCCAGGCGGGCTCCCCACCGAGCTGCTGTTTCTGCTTCTAGAAACAGTAATTCTGTGACTTAAGCTTTAGTGCAGCTGTCAGGTCACAGAACGAGCATCGGACTTGCGAGTCCGGCGCGTCTTCCACCGTCGCCTTCCCCTCCTCAATGACTCTCTTCTTCTAAGTCCCGTCCGGCGTGTCTGTCGCCATCCCGCTGGGAACATGCTCTGTGTGTGTCACGTCAAGGCAGTGGCCGCAGAGCCTCCTTCAAACAGGACGGGGTTCCGCCACCAGCCTCCGGGGCGCAGAACACCGGACGCGTCCCTTTGCGTCCCTGGGAGGTGGACGAGCGCTCCTGCCGAGGTTGGGGTGTCTGCGGAGGGGGCAGGGAACGCGAAGCACGCGGAGCCGTCTGCGCCGGCTTCGGCATCGGGGCGGGGGCTCCCTGTCACTCCTGCAGCTCCAGCCACGCCTGCGGTTAGGCCGCCGCTGGCCTGTGATCACTCCGTGCGCGGGGCAGCGTGCCCGTCTCCAGGTCCCGTGGGGGATCGTCACGTCCCTGATGTCGCCGCTGTCCCACAGCCCGGTGCGAGGCCAGTGCATCTGCGTCTGTTGGCAACACACAAACCTGAGGCGGCTGGTCACCCCAGGCCCACGCACAGCCCGGCCTGCGTGCCTGGGTCCAGGTCGACCTGTCAGCTCGTGGCTTCAGCTTCCTCAGCTGACCAGCGGGGCAATGACAGTCCAAACTCCCGCAGCTCAGTGAGGACCGCAGGCGACAGGCCTGGCACCGTGAAGGACCCCGGCCACCGCATGTCCTGGGAGCTGCGCCCAGGACCGGGAGCTTGGCCTCCGGAGGGCCCGCCGTGGTCACAGCCAACCCCACCAAGTTGGTCCTTTTCCAGGTTGAGGTCCTAAGAAAACGAAGCAGCATCGGCCCTGGGTTTGGGACGCGTGGCCTGTGCCTTCCTTTCCCACACGTGAGCCCACTGGAGTGGCGAGGCCGGCCACAGTCCTCCGCACACGGCCCGGGCCGGGGGCTTGCGTGCGTGCGTGAGGGCCGTCGCTGCGCCTCGTGTCCGCGCCCGTACAGCGGGCAGCGGCAGCAGCTTCGGAGCTGAGTGTGCCCGAGTTCGCAGGACAGGACTGGACGGCACCCGCGGCCACACCTCGCCATCGTCGGCCCTTGTGACTGAAGGCGCTGGGACAGGAGCGTGGAGCTGCCGCAGACGCGCGCGTTGGTCTGCTTCGAGCCGTGCAGACTCAGAGACCCACCTCGGGGACCCGTGCGGCCCTTTCTGCTTGCAAATGTGGCGCGCGCCCCCCTCCATCCTGCTTCCTGAGAAGGAGGCCAGTGGCCCGGGGCGGGCGCGCTCTTGGTGGCTTTCAGAGGTCCCAGCGCCCCGAGGACAGAAGACTTCCGTGCTGTTTCCACCGAGAGGCTTCTTCCCAGACCGAGCCTGTCTGGCGACGTTGCGTGCTCGCCAGGGACAGCGCCCTCACGCCCCGCCAGACACTGGTGCTCGGACGGGACGTGGGGGCGACGTTCCAGGGCGTAGTCTGCAAGGGTCTGGGCGCCGTTTCTCCTGGCCGTGAGGGTTAAGGCTCTAGGCAGAGACCCCCTCGTCCTGCACTGACGTGGGCTTTGCAGGGTCACCTGCTCCGATGGGCGCTTTCTCTACCGGCCAGTTAGCGACCTGGGGCCTTGCGGGGGTCACCCCACACCCGTGGAGAAAGGGGCGGGAGCTCAGAGTCCTGTTTTGTCTGACTCTCATGGCGGCTGGTAACACGGCACACGGAAAATTCTAAGCGGGAGCCGCTGCCTTGTCACACAGGTGTTCCGCTCTTGGATGACTCATCATCATAGCAGGTCGTTCTCTTCCAATATCCCAATCCTACCAAGAACTCATACGACTCAATAACAACAACAGCAAAAATAATCCAATCAGAAAACGGGCAGAGGACCTGAACAGACACTTCTCCCTAGAGGACATACAAATGGCCAACAAACATATGAAAAGATGCTCAATATCACTAGCTATTAGGGAAATGCCAGTCACAATCACAATGAGATACCATCTCACACCTGTTAGAATAGCTATAACCAACGGGATAAGTAATAACGAGTGTCGGAGAGGGTGTGGAGAGAAAGGACCCCTCATACGCGGCTGGTGGCACTGCGAATCGGTTCGGCCACTGTGGAAAACAGTATGGAGGATCTCAGAAAACTGGGAATTGATCTACCATACAATCCAGCCATCCCTCTGTGGGATATTTACCCCAAAGACTTGAAAACTCATATCCGAAAAGATACTTGCACACCAATGTTCATAGCAGCATTATTCACAGTGGCCGGGACATGGAAGCAACCGAAGTGTCCTCCGATAGATGATTGCCTAAAGAAGCTGTGGCACATATATATAGTAGAATATGACTCAGCCATAAGAAGAGATGACATCCTGCCATTTGCGACAACATGGATGGACCTCGAGATAATCATGCTGAGCGAAATAAGCCAGACAGAAAAAGTTGAAGATCATATGATATCACTTATATGTGGGATATAAACCTAAAAACCTAAGAGCAACAAATGAGCAGGACAAACAGAGACTCAGGGACATGGACAATGGACTAGTGGTTCCCAGAGGGGAGGGGAGAAGGGGAGGGGAAAGTTTAAAAAAGTGAAAAAAATAATAAAAATATAAGCTTGGGAAAATAAATACGCCCGGTCGTTGTCGTGGTCCTCTCTGGGACCGATCGCCTGATGGCTTCTGTCCTCGTGTGGTGCTTACACTCATCGTGACTGTGTCCAGCCACGTGGCCCCGTGCTCACCGTCTGCCTAAGACCGTTGCCGCTCGCTCAGAAATAAGCTGGATGCAGCGGGTTGCCACCCCCTTTGGTTCAGCATCATCTTAAATCAAAGTCGGTGAAAAAATGAAAGGAAGGAGAAAATGACCATCGGTCTAGCGCCAGTTGCACGGAAGTGTGTGGAAGATGCTCGCGAGCGGCTCAGGGTCACGAGCGAGACCGGAAGCCGGACACGGGCGGACGTTGCTCTGCACGGCTGGGCCCTTGGCGCCCCGGGCTCTGCGCCTCCACCGGAGTCCTCACTCTAACCCCAAGACCTTTGCCCACTGAGCGTGACTGTGGCCTGGACAGTGAGGGGACAGCCGTCCATGAAGGGCCTAGGGGGGAGTCCCGCAGCTGCGAACTGTGCCGGGGGGACTGGGCGGGATCCTCGGGTGGGCCACGGGCCTGCTGGGCGCGTCCCTGACTCAGGCCCGCTGCAGAGGGGCCTGTGGCCGCTGGCAGGTCGTCCCACCTGTGCCCGCAGGGACCCGCCGGGCCTCAGACCTGCGTGCGGGTGTGTCCATGAGGACCATGCTCTCGCCATTGACAGGGGCGTGGTGCTGGGAGCCCCTGACCCCCTCCTGCCTCCCGCCACCCCGCCCCCATCTCCCGCTTCCTGGGGCCTCCCAGGGCAGCCCCGTCAGGCCGTGTGACGGGTTCCCGGCGCCTGCTCACACCTGTCTCCCCCTCTCTGTAGTGGCCTCGTGTGACGAGGAGCAGCAGTCGGCCCTGGAGGAGGCCAGGCAGCCGAAGAATGACAATGTGGTGGTCCCCGAGTGTGCCCACGGCGGCCTCTACAAGCCCGTGCAGTGCCACCTGTCCACAGGCTACTGCTGGTGCGTGCTGGTGGACACCGGCCGCCCCGTCCCCGGCACGTCCACCAGGTAAGGCCGTGGGGGGATGGACGGGGGCGCGGGGAGCACGGGGCCCACAGTTCCCACCATAGCCCGCCCTCGCCCTGGCCTCCCGTGCAGGGCACTGCAGAGGCCGATGGCTTTGGCCATCGGGAGCCAGAGGAAACTGTCACGTACGGTCGCCGGGGATGGCCCGTGCGAAGGACAGTGCTCGTGGGCAGCCGCAGGCACTTTCTGAAGTGTAACATATGCGCCCGGAAATTGCCACCTAGAGAGAGAGAAGGTGCTGGAGGCAAGGACAGCGGTGGCACTGGCCGGTCCACGGGCAAAGCCACCTGCCCTGCTCTGGCGCATCCCCGCAAAGCCGCCCGCTTCCCAGCAGCACGTGACGAGCACGAGTTCTTTGCATGAGAGTCGAGGCGTTTTCGCACCTTTTTGCTGTGCGAATTGATTTTTTACAGATTTATATAAAGCGGTTTACAAATCTATCACAAGAACCTCTCAGATATTATCAGAGTAACGACCGACGTCACCTCTGGTGCCTGGCACAAGCACTGTGACCCTTCCTAAATGACTTCCTCGCGTTATCAAGTGTGACCAGCACTTCGGGGCGGAGCACACGGGTGCACGCTCGCTCCGGGTGGGGGGCTCGGCTCCCGCGTGGGGGGCTCGGTTCCCGGCGGTGGTGCGGGGCTTCCTCAGGACGGTCGGCCACGCCTGTCCACCGCCCGCTCCCCTAACCCGGCTCCGTGGGTTTACCTCTGCTTGGAAATTGGAAGAGCAGGATCGCGTTGAAGCTGGTCCTCGGTGGCCGACCTGTCCCTGTCCCAGGCACTTGGTGCGCAGCCCGGCACCCAGCAGACGCCCAGAGAGGCGGTCAGGCCAGGGCCGCAGACGGGCGGGCCTCTGCGGGGCTGTCGCAGGTCAGCGTGTCTAACGGGCCTGCTCCGCGGGCGGCCGAGAGCGTGACTCTCCTCACGGCGGTGCTGCGGGACCTCGGCTTCAGTTCTCGCGTGCGCGGGTGCAGGGTGCTGATCTCAGGAGCGGGAGACTCGGTCACCCTGGCTTGTTCGCGTGTATTTAAGTTGGGACGTGGTCCCCGCTGGGGGGTGAACCGCTGCCCAGTGAGCCCTGAGCTGTCGAGACCGGAGTCCCTCGAACCGGCTCCGAAACGGTGCGATCTGCAACGGTGTGACCCCCACGGAGCCCTTAACCATTTTTACGTCACCACCGGACAAGGGCGGGACTTCCCCCGCCCCTGCGTCCTGATGGTTCTGCCGGACTCTGCTTCCCGCCAGGGAGCTGAGCGTGTTTCTCCTTGTCCCTGCGCTGCCCGTGGAAAGCAGCGAGTCCCTCTTCTTGGAGCTTCAAGAACCGGCACTAAATCGAACCCAGAAGAAGAAGCCTCTTAGCATCTCGTATTTTCCTCATTCCGTCCCTGATCGTCGGTGATGTCAAGCATCTCCCGGGAACGGAGGACGTGGCCTCGAATGAGCAGACGCGCCCTCTGCGGGGGCTTCCCATCCTGCAGGCACGTCACAGGGCGAGCGCGGGGGGCTGCGCCCCGTGGTGGCAAGCAGAGTCCTCACGTTCAACCAGCCCACCGGCTCCGAGGACAAGGGACTCCCGATTATCCCAGCAGCTCCGGGTGGTGACTGTGGTTCGCTGTTCGTGTTCTCTGATCTGCCTTCTTCGACTCGTAGTGGCTCATGCTGCGGCTCCCGACGGCTGTGGTTTCTGGAAGTGTCTGCAGCCATGACAGCATATTCTATGCCACTCCGACAGCCAGAAACGCGGTCCCCGCCGCCCCTTGCCCCTCAGTGGACTTCGCCTCACTCTAACTGGCCAGAATGTCAGTCCCTGACCGAGTCGGCGCTGGCCCATCACTCGGCACCTACGCCTGGGATGGGGCCACGCCCATGGCACCCGCAGCCACACTGCGCTACGTGTGACAAAGAGAGGCTTAGTTTAGCATAGAAGCGATGTAATCTCTCAAGAATTCTGGAAAGCATTCCACTCCCTGTCGTGCTCCCATTCACTTCTTGCTTGATAAACATCTGGACGCCCTCGGCACTGTTCCAGGGGAGGGGACACGCAGGGGATGGGACAGAGCCTGCGCCTCGCGGAGCCTACGTTCCGATGGAAGGACACGGACAGCAGGACGCGAGCAGATAAACGGGATGAGTGAGCGCGTTGGCTAATGGCATGACCTGGAAGGAAAACAGGAAATAGGGTCGGGGCATCGGGGGCGGGTGTGACTGGGCAGAATGGCGGGGGCTCCCGAGAGGCCGACGCCAGAGTCAAGTCCGGAGGAAGCTGGGGAGCACGCGGGTGGTATCTGCGGAGGGCGGTCCAGACCCAGGGAGCGGAGCCGGGACCGAGCTCGGGGTGGCGCCAGGCGGGCTGTGTCATTAGGAAGCGTTCGGCCTCTCGCGGTGTGAGCCTTCCTGACAGGCGTGCGCAGCGAGGGGCTGGACGAGCCTCGGCCAGAGGCACAGAGCTGGGGAAGCTCCGTTCGCTGAAACGGTCTCCCTGGTCTTCGCTCTGACATCCTCGCTCTGTTGCCTTTGTCCTTGGTCAGACTCCCCTCAGGGTCACACGCTGGCTGCAGAGATCCGGGCATCTCATCCAGTCAACACAGTGCCCAGAGGACGCATGGCCCACCTCTCTCTTTCTTAGGGGCCAAAAAAACTTTTCCTAAAACTCCGTTTAGCAGATTTAATTAATGGATTATTGGCTAGAATCGGATCGTGCGACCATGGCCCAATCCAACGCCGGCAAGAAAAATGGAATTGGTTTAAATGGATCTTTAGGGAGGCACAGAAGTTGGGAAATCCGTCAAAAGCGTCAGTTTCACGGGCCGTCTGACCAGCGAGGGCCCCGTCCCAGCCTCCCTCGCACAGCTCCTCCCGTCACTGGGTGGCGGCAAGTTCTCTGCGTTGCTAGCAAAATGCCTGCTGTTGCGTAAATGCCACTTCCTCGGGATCTGGAGTGAGCTGTGACAGTGGCAGCTCCAAGGCGGGGAGGGACCAAGCCCAAGGCGTGACCTTCAGCCTGAGCCCGCGGTGAGCGTGCCTGGGTGTCCGGGTCACCGTGCAGAGGCGGGATACCCGCTGAGCAGCCCGAGCCCACCGCCGCGTCTTGTCCCCGTGCCCCCTGTGTGAGCCAGCGGGCGATGGGGGAGCACACCCTTCGGAGTCTTGACCCCATGGCTCTCCTTCCCTCCTCGTAGGTACGAGCAGCCAAAGTGTGACCACACCGCCAGGGCGCACCCGATCAAGGCGCGGGACCTGTACAAGGGCCGCCAGCTCCCAGGTAGGTGGCGGGGGCCGGGGCGGGGAGCGCCGTGTGCTCCTGCAGGTTTGGGAGGGGCGGGCATTTCCGAGCTCCGCTGCCATGTGTCTGGGCAGCGTCCTCGGAGCGGCAGCGAGAGCGAAGGCGGGTTCCGGCCCCTCCCCGGGGTCGGCGGTCAGCGGTCAGGCGCTGCCAGGGGCCCGCAGGGGGCGCCCACGGAGGGGCCGTGCCCGGGTTCCACGCGTGCCGCAGGGAAGGAGGCGCGTCTAAGGCCAGCACCTCAGAGGACACGTGGTGTCCCCGACTCGGGACACTGCCAGGTAGCCTCCCACCGAAGCGCCCTTGATCCGGCTCGAAGCAAAGCAGGCCAACGTCGGTTCCCGACATTCCTTCTGAATTTCTGGGCGAGAAGCTGCAGTTTAGGTTTCAAAAACATGAGTTCCATCTTCGTATCCAGCGAGTTCCGTAGCAAAGGTCTACGTCACGGTGCAGAGGCGGTGGGTTCGCCCTTAGGATTATTAGAAACATACTCAGCAGGCTGTGCGCGCCCTTCCCCGGAGCGTTGGTGACGCGCCAGGCACGGTCACTGGGCCACTCGGGCGGCTGAGACCACGGCCTCCAGGCACCGCCCCGAGATGAAAGGCCCGGGCAGTGCGCGGACGCACCCGCGGGCGGTTCCGCTGCCTGGTCCTCTGGCGAGGTCAAGGGGTGTGGAGAGCGCTGTCCACCTCGTGTGGTGGGTCTGGCGGCATCGGCAGGCGCGTCAGAGCCCCTCACCGGTTTCTTTCATTTCGATCCTCTTCTTTCCCTTTAAACGTCTCCAAATTTTGTATGTTCGGCCAAAGCCTCAGACCATGAAAATCGCCGTGCGGTGTCCTTAGTGCAGGGTGCGCGTTTGCTCCGGGTATTGTACGGGGTCTGGGAAAATGCCCGTTCAGAACGGCTCTGTGGTCCTCATCCATCCTGTCATGGATCAGGAGGCTCTGAGCTCCGGGCATAAAGGACGGAGGAGGCGGACCGTCCACAGGGCGGCACGTCAGCCATTCGTTCGCGTTTTCCCACAGCCACGCGACAGCGTTCGGACTGAGAATGTGACGCAGAGGACGCGGAGCTGGCAGTGAGGGTCTGGGGATGGCGACCAGCCTCCCGCCGGGCGGGGACGGCCCAGCGGCCACCCTGAGCTTTCTGAGCCCGGCTCGGGGCCTCCGCTGTGTCCCAGCGCCGTGTCCACAGTGTTCTTTTCCGAGGCAGATTCACGGAATCTGTTGGTGGAGTTGTTTTCATCACGCCGTGTTCCGCTACGTGATTCATGAGTCAGGCTGCTTTCTGCATCATGGTGGGGGGAGATGCTGACAGGGAGAGAGAGACGGGGAGAGAAAGTGGGGAGGGAGGGAGGGAGCGTGGAAAAGGCGGGTCGTGAAGACGCAGATTCCTAGCTTGGCGCCTTTTGTGTATGGGGTGTCTCGCCCTTAGAAGGAGCTCGATTCGAGGCTGGCTGGCATGCTCCCCGGTGAGATCTCTTGGCCCCCCCGTTATCCGGTAAGATCTCTTGCCTTAGAGTCAGGTTTTAACGCCAGTGGACAGCATTTCATCTGAATACTGGGGATAATGAGCTGAGCGTGTGTTTGGGGCCTGGAAAGCCCTCGACGGACATTTGCTGTTCTTAGGTTGTCTTGATCTTGTCACATAAATGTCTGAACGACCCATCCTTTGTCTCTAAGGGTCCAAGAGTCTTATTTATTTTTATTTTTTGGATAATATAACACTGCGTTATTTCTAAATAAAGCTGCATGTGGTTTTTGCACACATACATGCATGTAGCTTAGAACTTCTTGTTGGGACCTTGGTGGCTGGTGAAGGCACAGTGGCCGAAGGCAGCTCCTCCTGTCCCCTGTTGTGGGGCGTCCCCGCCCCCCGTACACTGGACACCAGACTAGGCTCCTTGATCCAGTGACTGGGATGGTCATTTATCTCTTGGGGACATTGATCATTGATACTGAGAATGTGAAGTGTCACCGATGGCTCGTTTGGGTGTCAGGGTTGCCACTCAGAGCGAGGACATCTGAGCGCTTCAGGTCTCAGAGCATTGGGGGGAGGGGGGCACGGCCGACTCCGCCGCCGAGCTGCTGGGAGTGTGCTGCTTGTGACCACGAATCACTCTGATATTTCAGAGATAATTATCCTTATTAGGGAAAAACAAGTGGGTCTCGAAATAACTCCCGGACGGAGGCCGTTCTGGGCAGAGAGGAGAAAGCTATTTCCAAAACGGGGCAGCACAGGGGCTGGCGCTCCCGGGCTCACCCGGGCTCACACGCCTCCCGGGGAAGGGGCCGCTTTGGCTTCCAGAGGTTCTTCTGCACTGCGACCAGCAAGGCTCCCATGTCCCAGGTCAGGCTGGGGCTGGTCCGACGCGCAGTTCGCTGGTTTGGGGGGTTTGGTGACTGGAAATATTTACCGGCGTCCTCTCTAGGGCAGCTGGCAGACATCCCAGCTCACGCCAGTGGACAGTAAGTGGCCGTTTAATCTTTAGAGGCCAGCACTTTGGCATGTGGACAGGAGGTCGGGCCCCCGCCAGACGGGCCCCTGTATTCCGTAAGTGGCCTTGCACGGCGTCTCGAGAGGAGGCGGAGACCAAGGAGGCGGGGGTTCTCAACAAAGGCGTCAAGCCGCGCCATCCTGCCCGCCCCCCATGTGTCCTGTGGCTTCGTCCTGGCATCTCTTCATCACCCCTTAGTCTCTGCAGCATTTTTCAGGGACACATGGGTGTCAAGGCTGTTCCTTGACCAATTGGCTGAACGTGAAGGGAGCTTTCTACACATGGGGTTCATCTAAAAGGGGGTGAACAGGCCTGAACTCGCGAAAGCCTTCATGCTGGGCGGACAGTAGTTTGAAGGCGGCGAGAAGCCGTCCGTCTCACTGCGCGTCAGGGCTCTGAGGAGCGAGGGCGGTCCTGGCCCCCCGCACCCCGCCTGGCAGTTCTCCCCGTGTTTCTTGCTGGGCTCAGCCTCCGCCAGTCAAGTTCACAGACGGCCCGAAGTGGATTCCTGACCCGTCATCCGCCCCGGCCAGTGTGGCTGCTCAGAAAAGAGAGTTGTCGCGTTCCCCGCCACCGGATGAAGTCGAAGCTGCGCGCCCTGCTGGAGGGGCCCGTGGCCGACCCACCCCCCACCCCAGGGACCGGGGCTCGGCCTTAGTGAATTACTGGCTCCAAAAAGGAGCCACGTGCATCTCAGTCTGCGGGGGACGTAGCGAGGGGCCGTCTCCCACTCTGTCACACGAGCCCGGTGACGCCAGCACACTGACGCCTCGGCCCGCGTGGCCTCCGCTACTCTGAAAGTTCCGAGCATTCAGAGAGAGAATTTAAATCTATATTAACCATGAAAACGCATCTGCCAGACAAATTAGTAGAGTGAGCAATGCGTCAGAGGCAGTTGAAAGAGCTTAAGAGAACGTGCTGCTCTAAACACCATCAAATGTTATGCTCGTCATTCAACAATTGTTATTCTGTGACAAATAATGCCTATCTCTTTATTAAAGCAGTTTGTTGAAAATAGTCTCTTTAAAAGTTTCCAAGTAATATATATACGTGGAGATGACGAATTTGCTTTTCACGGGCCTGTAACTCCCTTTTATTAATTCAGGCTTTCTTCATAGTTAGTCGGATCTGTCGAGACTCTCCTAACGGAACAAAAGCTCCCACCACAGGTCGTTTAGATAACTCGCTTCAGCAAGCGGCGCAGGGACAGCACCCCAGCCACCCGCGGGAGGCCCCCGCGTTTGAGGCCGGTCCCGCCTGGAGTCGGTGTCCCCGTGGGGCCCGTCCCGTGTCACGCGGCAGCGGCCGGGCTCCTGTCACGCTTTCTCCGCCTTCGCTCCTTCTGTGTCGACACCGAGCTCAGGTGCTGTGTCCCCACGGTTGTCACCAGAGCAGACGCGGTCTTCTCGGATAAGCGGTAGCCCCAAGCGGTCGGCGGTGACAGCCACCTGTCCTCGGCCCCAGCTGGCCGGGCCTCAATGCCCTGTTCGGTGCTTCTGATCTTTGCCTGGCTTTGGCCCTGCACCGAGGGGAGCTCGTGGGGCACCTCCAGTGTCCCCGCTGTCCCCTTCTGAGTCAGCATGGAGTCCTTTTCATCCTCCTGGTTCTCCTGCTTTTAAGCCCAGATCCGGTCAGAACACGAACCTACATGGCACCTCCTCCCCCTTAGCCTCTGTTCTAATTAAGAGCCCTTTCTTTATAACTTGGGGAGCAGGTGTGTCACACACCCACTGTGCAGGGGGCCAGTGCCAGTCGCTTTGGGGTGCAGAGTCACGTGAGACCCAGCTTTGGGCTGCAGAGTCACGTGACACCCAGCCCTCGGTTTCGGGGGCGACCCCGGCACTTTTACGGGCCCAGGACCGATGGGCTCAGCGAGCGACATTACGTGAGATTGGAGGCTCTGGGGACGCGGGGGCTGGCGCTCACTGGCATTTGGCCTCCCTGTCTGAGAACGTCACGGTGTCGCCCTTAAAACCTCTTCTCCAGTCGTGGTGCCAGCGCCGGGAGCCTCTCACCCACGCCCGTGTGGCACTACTCAGCTGGGGCTCGGCCGTGGCGTGACCGAGCAGTGTGGGGAGGGACGGTGAGAAGCCACTTCTCCAGGCGAAGTCCCAGGGAAGTCGAGGCAGGCGAACCCCAGTTGCCCAGACCGGACACTGTCCGGGTAGCGGGGTCATGGCTTCGAGAATGGGGGCGGGGCTGACCGAAAGGCACAGCCAGTGGCAGAAACTCAGTAGAGTCTCCCCAATACCTTAATTGTTTGAGAAATTGGTTGGACAGACCGAGACCCCAGATACTTAAGGGTCAGTCGGGCTGCTCGGCACGCCCAGGTGACCCGTGGTGGGAGGCGAGTTCCCAAAACCCGGCTCAGAGTGAAAAGCAGGAGGCCGTACAAACTTCTAGAATGATTTCCCTGGCAGGACGGTTCCATTTTTTTCCTTAGCTTGCTTTTGACTTGTCAGATCCAGAATCATTTTCCAGAGGA